TCTGATCGTAAGCACAAAGCTTTGGATTCGAACACGAAGAATTTTAAGTTGGAGTTCTTACTCATCCTTTAGTAGCCAATCATTCTTCTTTATAAAAGTCAAGTTGAGTATGCTAGGCAACTTGAAACTGATAGGAGAGGTCGCGAAACTATGTCCAAGAAGGTAGACGAAAATGCATCCCCGACTACTTAAGCTTTTTCGAGGCACGAATGAAGAGAAGTGACAAGGAGAAGAAATCTTTTCCGTACGGACCTAGCACCTCGAATCTTAGTGAAGACGAACCTAGCACCACAAAACTTGGTGAAGATTGGCCAAGCACCACAATTTGGTTTGGGGAAGAAAAAAAAACATAACTCAACAAAGCATGAAAAAATAAACATAATCCAAAAAAGCATTAAAAACACAATAACCGAACCATTTAGTGCTTCGCTCTAACCCTCTAATCTAGAAGAGAGAAACGTAATTCTAATAAGAAGTATATATATCTTTTATCACATAGCAGAGATATACATAAATAAAAGAGATACATGCCGCGTTACAAATAACTTTTAACTCTAATTTACCAAAAGAACTTCATCAAAACGAGTTCATGCAAATGATATTGTTGTCTCTCGCGTCACATGACGATGAACTCTTGATATTCAATTTTTTTTATCGTAATTCATTTACATGGACGGGCCACAAGAGTAGGGTCTTGTTGATCGTACGGACGCATGCTATATATGACCGGACGGTGCATGCAGAAAGACCACACGCATTGACATGAATCTTGTGATTAAGGTTGGAGATTCCTTAGCTTAGCTGTTGTGTATATGAGTGCTGCAACTAGTTTCCTCCATAGCCCGCGGAAGTGCCCAAATGGTCAGACATCAATGTGACCCCATGTTTATTGGAATCAATTGCTACATACATTGCTAGGTTGAGGTTGATATAAGAACACGTTCCTCCCTAAACAACCACTTCTTTCATCATTTGTGATGATAACTGTGTTGTTGGATTTAGAGAATGAACCAAACAACTGTTCACTTGCATGGCTTCATTTGCGTAATTAACGCTTCAGTGAGCCTGACAGACTTCAAACTACTACCTCATATGAATAATTTAGAAAAAAATGCTACTGAGATAGCATTTTTTAAACATATTTTAGTGTACTATTTGAAGTGGCAAGTAATATATAAATTTTATGTCAATTAGTAAGTTTATTTCATTTGAGGCTGGTTATAGATACACAAATGTGGTCGACAATTATAATTTCTATAGCATTATTCATAATTTAGTAATTAATTTGAGATACTGAAATTTGACTACAACAAAGCATTTAAACTTGTGTGATTGAGTAATTTGGGTTGAGTTGGTGGAGTAAGATATCGAGTAATTTTTTTCCCAATTCAAGGAACGGGAACTGGAGACAATAGTTGATTCATTTTTTACAAGAAGTGATAGTACATTCTTTAGTCACCAATACGTTGATCTAGGCAAGTGGCTTTATCACAGTGATAGTACATTCTTTAGTCACCAATACATTGATCCTACCAATTTTTTAAGGGAACTTTAACGAAAAGCACCCGGTACTGTTCACTTTAACGAAAAACCACATTTTTACACTAAAAAGTCAATCCTGGTACTATTCATTTTACCCTTTATTTTGTCCTTATCATTAAAACTCAAAGTTTTCGAGCCATTTTCATTAATTTTCCTATTTTTTAATTCCCGCCATCAATTTTCATAATTATTGCTTTAGACTCTCATGCATGATTCTTGTAATTTTTTTTTAACAAACGATATTATCTACTAAGGGGTAGGGAAGTGAATTAAGCCCCATATTGGATTAGCAATAATAATGTGGTTTAAATTCACCATTAGCGAAAATCGAATCTAATACATCTCACTTACAAGTGAAGAGAAATATCACTATACTGTAGTACTAAGTGACTATTTTTCCTCTACTTATTATATGCAAGATTATAACACTACTTATTCTCTATCTATGTAAGGCACATTGGATGCCTGCATATACTTAGGGCTCATTTGATAACAATTTCAATTTTAACTCTTAATTTTTTACTTCTTGTTCTCGAGATATAGAGAAAAGTATATAACTATGAGGGATGAAGGTTAATGCTAAGGAGACTCTTTCAAACTCACTTCACAGTTTAACGTTAATTCTTATACCAACATCATAAAACATTTTGTCAAAAACATGAGGCTACAGAGAGTCCATGGAGAGTCCAAATTTGACACAATCTCCTTACCATTTCTCAAATGGAGAAGAAAACATAAGAGGGAAAACTTCTTAAAACGAACTGGAAACAAAATAGTTATTTAACAAATCATATGTGTGTGCATATGTATGTATGGAAAGATGGCAGCTGTGAGTGAGAACAATATTTCGTATGTAGAGAGACAAGGTGGTTTCGAATTAGATGGAAAATTAAAAGAGCCCACTGCGGGCATGTTGCTCCTGCATCAATGCTATGATCTTCATAATAATTTATAACCAAATACTCAGCTGAGTCATTTTGTGGCATGCCACCACAAGTAGCCAGACATAAACTCAATTTTGTATTTGAGAATACTTCCGTACATTTCATTCTTCTCTATAGGCAAGTACTAACTTTACAAGGAACTCAATAATGGAAACGAAAGAAATTCCCGGCCGGCCAGATAATTAGGCTTCCACTGACCATCTTTCTCAAGTTGGTGCATAAGAGGCATTTCTACTTATGCTACTGAGATAGCATTTTTTAAACATATTTTAGTATACTATTTGAAGTGGCAAATAATATATATTTTATGTCAATTAATAAGTTTATTTCATTTGATGCTGGTTATAGATACACAAATGTGGTTAATTAATTTGAGATACTGAAATTTGACTATTACAAAAGCATTTATACTTGTGTGTGATTGTGTAATTTGAGTTGAGTTGGTGGAGTATGATACTGAGTAATTTTTTTCCCGACTCAAGGAAGGGGAGCTGATTAGGGAAGATGAGTTGATTCCTTTTTTTATAAGAAGCGATAGCACATTCTTCAATCACCAATATATTATTTTAGAGATAATCGCACAAATATGCATAAAAGTAAACTTCTAACGGTTGTCACAAGCAAGCACCTCCGTACTAGCACAAGTACTCTGGTATAAATCTGCCACAAAGACCGCAGACACAGCAAACCTATACCAAAGCACACATAATGTCATCCCCAACAAGCAAGACTACAAAAATCATCACTGACAAGAGTTGCCCCATCACTTGCTAGGTGAGACATCACTCACTAGCTAGGAGGAGAGGCTGGTGCCGATCTCTTGCTCCGGATTGGGGGAGAGAGAGGACAATATATCCTTTATTGGACTTATCCACTCAAGCTTCTGAAATTGAAAGTTGAAACAACAATTGTGGATGCAAATTTCTTCCTCCTTGTTCTTGGACAAAATTGCACATACAAAACAAACAACACCTTAGGTCAAGGCCAAGAGCCTCACACGCCCACGATGAATTTAGGGGGGCTTTGGCCGAAGAACCTCTGATACCAAAGTTAGAATTTTGAGGGAAAAGTGTTTGGAGAATTTTGAGAATTTAGTAAGAGTCTAGAACTTAGGTTTTTAGAGAAAATAGGGTAGTATATATAGGGCATGGCCGGTCCCATTTGGAGAGATGGTGACCGGCCCCTTGTGGCATTTTTTGGTGTGATTTGTAATTAATTAGCCAATTAATAGATTAATTAGGTAATAAATCAATTAAATAGCTAATTAATATAATTTGAAAGGAATGTTTTGGGGGTTACCTTGTGGAGAAGATTTGATGAGGATGGATGAAATAAGTTTTGAATAAATACATATTTTGGGCACTTTTATCTTGATTGTGGGATGATTGTCCACTGCTCGCGCGTAAGAGTTCCGATGTTCCTTAAGGGTAATTTTGTCCTTTTTACTTTAGAATCCACGTGTCGCCTCCATATTTTTCTTGATTATTTTTGGCTCGACAAATGCCCCCACACCTGCTGGGCTGCTCGCAGGAAAGGGCAACAGGTGTAGAGATCTCCAACTTTCATACAGATTTTTACTTGGACTTAGAATTAGATTATTCTAGGAAAGGGAAATAAATTGCCTCCAAAGCCTATTTAAGCCTACCTTTAGTAGGGGGTTCAATCAACTTTGGAGGGCAATTATTTGTCCCTACAAGAAAGAGAGAAAACTAGTGGATATTTGTTCCCCCTCCCCTAGCACTCTTCTTTGCTTGTCCGTGCAAAGAACCGTCTTCCATTGATTTCTTTGTCTTCTCCGTACTGCATCGATGTAAGAAAACTTAATTCTCCTTGTCTTCTTCTTAGGTGGTGCTGTCACAGGGCAGTCGTCAAGGTGGTGCGGTGTCGGCTGGCAGGGGTCAGGAGTCGGCTTGGCATGGCCAAGAAGGTGGCGTGGCATGGGCCACAGTTTGGGCTACCTCGTTTGGGCTACTTGCCAAAAATAAGGAAACTGCTTGAGTTTGATTTCTCAGCTGCTGTAGATGGAGCAGTCAGATGAGTGAACTGTTGAGTGCAAAGTGGTTGCTACCCCCTGACTATTCACTACCTAGTTGGTTTTCAAGCATTTGATCTTTTGAGTTATGTGGCTTTCTCACACTGGAGAGCTTACCCAGATGGGTGTATGGGAATTAGTTTACCTTCTCGCACTGGAAGGCAATTGGTTTACCCTATCGCATTGGAGAAAATTGGAGAGCAATTACTTTACCCTCTCGTACTGGAAAGCAATTAGTTTACCCTCTCGCACTGGAAAGCAATTAATTTACCCTCTCACACTGGAAAGCAATTAGTTTACCCTCTCGCACTGAATAGCAAACCCAGATGAGAGTTTGAGTAGTCATTGTAGACAACAGTTGAGCCTGGCTTATGAATAACTTCTTGAATCTTCATTGAGAATACAAAAATGGATCAACTGTGCTAGAAGGTAGAAAGTGGTGATGGAGATTCTGAACTTATTTGGAAAAGCCCTGACGGGGTTCAAGAGGTGATAGAGATTTCCCCTGCTTGTGTAGGCCGTGTCGTTAACCTGTCAAGATACTCATCACACAGGCCCTCATTTGTCAGCTTTTCAAGGTATTGCTTCCACGTTTGGCAACCATTGGTAGTGTGGCCTGGTTCTTGATGGAATGCGCAATACTTTGTCTGATCTAGCCGAGTAAGATCGCCCTTCATGGGTGGCGGCAACTCGAACCAAGGTTCTTTCTTGAGTTTACAGAGAATTTGGCCGATTGGAACTGAGAACTTGGTGAATGTTTTAGGTGTTGAGTCTTCTATGGTCGGGGAACATTCCATGCGCTTATTTTTCGACTCATTTTTGTTGGACTGCTTTGCCTCATCCCATAGTGCGTGCTTCTCTTCCAAAGCATACAAAGCTGCTAGGGTTAGTTCTTCTCCCATGATCAATTTTCTGAATAAAGGGTGTTCGGTGGGAAGCCCATTTCTGAATACTACCATTGCTATGTCTTCGTTGCAGCCAACAATCTTGGTCTTCTCCGCTTTGAACCTCTTGACATAGTCGGTAATTGTCTCCCAATGGTCTTCTACGATGTTGAAGAGATGGTCGGATGTCCTTTTGATTGAGTGATTAGACGAATACTCCTTAGTGAAAACAAAGAAAGTTTGTTGAAACTCTAGATTGACTGTGAAGGTAGGGTGTGAAACCAGTCTTGCACCTCGCCTTGTAAAGTTATGGCAAAAAATTTGTACAAAAGCGCGTCGTCGTTCTTGAAGAGGATCATGGTACTACGATAGTGTTTAAGATGTCGATCTGGATCTTTGTCTCCCTTGTACGGAGTGAAGTGAGGCATAGTGAACCCGTGAGGGGGATCTGTGCGCTTAATCTCATCCATGAATGGTGACATGCTTATGTTCGTCATGTCTCATCGAAACGCATCGCTAGCAGCCTCGTTGCACGGGAACTTGCCCAATTATGAGCCTGTCAACTTCTTCTTAAATTTGCCTCTGCTAGGGCAATGGAATTTTTGGCTGCCCTTGGTTGTGATCTATTGGTCTAGGCCATTCTTCCTTATGCTCGACTTGTCTGTGCCGTGGCTGCGGTGCATGTGGGATGTTTCTAGTGAGCAAATAGGTTGTTTGCAGGTTGCCAGTTGAACTTGAGTCAGATTGAGTGATTACTTCTCTCCATCCACCGTGCTGCCTACTCTGATGTGAGGTGTAGAATACTTCTTGCTAGCCTAGTTGTGAATGAACACTTCGCCTAGAAGGTTATCCATGTTGATAATCGAAGTGTGGCCTCAACCATGAAAGTATGCTCAACTATGGGCTTGATCAGAATATACGCCCATCCGCGCGCTAAGACAAGAGTATACGCTATCCTTAGGACCCAGGAGGGAGCGTAAGTTGCTAGAACGCTTGGATCATGACTGGTTGAAAGGCTACTTGCCGGGATGCTACTGGAGAGGTTTTTCGTCTACACTTGTCCTACTTCGGGACACCTCGTCAAGGGCACTTTGCATCTCGGTGCAATGCAAGAGCTGATTTACCAAGGTTGTCTGATGTGCGAGGGTGCTCGTCAACTCTATAACTTCTCGAGACAAGTGTTGTTTTCCATTTGGGTTGGAAGAGCTTGGAATGAATGCGTCTCTTTGAGCAGTGTGGTAGACTCCGGGCACAAGATTTGAGTTGGGAAATGTCAAATTTGCGGAGAAATGTGACGGAAATGCCCCCGGCTCAATCGTAGGCCCAGATATTTGAAGCCTGAATGGTTGAATTAATTTTGGACCGATTTAGGCTACTTGGAAAGTCACGGGAGCAGGTTGGGCCACTAGAGCAGACTGGATTGTGGGAGCAGGCTGGGCCACGGGAGTGGGCTACTCGGCTTGTAGCGCACGTGGGTGCGAGGCTAGGGCTTGTGTTGCTAGGGCAGCAGCTTGGGCTTGCTGCTGCAAAGTGGCGTAGGCCTGAGTTGGTAGATGCGTCTTTGCCCCTTGCTCACCGTGGGCTCGCTGCCATGAAGCTGGCCCACTCTCTACTGCCATAGTGGTGGTGCTCCTTGGTGGCAAAGTTGCTCGTCTTGCCATCATGTTGAGCCTTGTGGATTGTTGTGGTGGGGCTACGTCTCGTCCTCCATCATTCAATCCAGATCTTTAAACGTAGGAAGTTTCATTCGTTGTGGTTTCCAAATTCCTTGTCATTGTATTTTTCTTTTATGTTTATTCAAAGAATTTTATAAAAAATTCTAGGAAGTAAAGCATACAAAAAATCTACAAATGAATGAGAAATTAGTAACGTTGAATGCGAGTCTTCTTCGAGAGTGTGAATCAAACTCTCAATGAAAGCACCAATTTGTTGATGAAAATTTATTCCTCCTTGTTCTTGGACAAAAGTGCACCTACAAAACAAACAACACATTAGGTGAAGGCCAAGAGTCTTACGCGCCCACGATGAATGGGAGGGGATTTGGCCGAAGAATCTCCGATGCCAAAGTTAGAATTTTGAGGGAAAAGTGTTTGAAGAATTTAGAGAACTTAGCGAGTGTAGAACTTAGGTTTTTAGAGAAAATGGGGTAGTATATATAGGGCATGGCCGGTCCCCTTTGGAGAGATTGTGACTAGCCCTTTGTGGCATTTTTGGGTGTGATTTGTAGTTAATTAGCCAATTAATAAATCAATTAATTAAAGGAATTTTTTGGAGGTTACTTTGTGGATAAGATTTGATGAGGATGGATGAAATAAGTTTTGAGTAAATACCTATTTTTGGCACTTTTGACTTGATCGTGGGATGATTGTCCATTGCTCGAGCGTAAGAGTTATGGTGTTCCTTGAGGGTAATTTTGTCATTTTTACCCTAGAATCCACGTGTCGCCTCCATATTTTTCTCGATTATTTTTTGTTCCACAACAATGAACTATCGACAAGAGTTGATCTTTGGCTGTGATGTATGAGGTAAATGTTCTAACACAAAACTGTTAAACCCTACCAAATTAATAATGGATGTTTGGAGGAAAAGAATGTCATTGGAAAATACTTTTTTTATCTCCTTTGTTGTCAATCTGAGAAAGGGTGCGCCCCTTCCCCCTGCTAAAGAGTATTTTTTATTTTTTTTAAGAAATTTATACGTAGATAGTTTGGTTCAAGAAACCATCAGATTTTTGTTAATGATGATTAATTACTTGAGGATTGTAACCATTTGAATTAATATTAGGGTTTCTTTTGTTCAAGTTCTCGCAGTGGAACGTCCAAGTGGGGAAAAAGAGTAAGTTGCATAGTGAGTCGCAATTCCGATCCTGATGTATATTTTGTCTCACTTAATAATCTATGGCTTGAATCAAGTTTTCTCCTGCTCGGTTGTAATCATTTTGAAGCATCAATATATAATCAATTTCCACTACAAAAATTATATATAATGAATAGTAATGTTGTTATATTTTGTTTATTACATCCGCAATGCTCAAAAACCTCGAGACCCAACCGGCAATAATGTATTCATGGAATTCGTTGGATTGGCTGCTAAACTGGATTAGAACACCAAATAATCATGGTAATGATGAGAGCGGCATGTTATATATAAGCTTAATTCTTTTTAAGATCAGCAGTCATGTTACTAATTAATTAAAAATATGCATGATACAATATTACATATGGTTGTTAGGGGATTATTGTAATTTTATTTAATAAATGATATTATCTATATTAAAAGAGAGAATGTGGGTTTAGCCTCATAATAGAGTAACAATAATGTGGTTTAAATTCGTCTTTAACGAGAATCGAATATAAAACCTTTTACTTACAAGTAAAAAAATAATATTACTAAACCGTAATATTAAGTGGTAAGAGATCGTTGCAATTAGTTTATCACGTATGTGATCAGTTGGAACATGTGCCCCAATAATTAATTAATGGTAGCATCTCACAGGCCAATTAGAAGGAGATCCTCACCCAATTATTTATATATTGTTTATCCCATATTTCAGGTCTTCCTCTTAATTAATTGCTTATTGTTTAATTAAAATAGATCCCTCACTTAATACATACATCACCCATGTGCCTCTGTAACCTTACCAACCAATTACCATCACTTTGCACTAACTATATATTCCAAAACCAACTGCTAATATCTATTTTAAAAGTCCCTTCAATAAGACAATGCCAACCACCTCTTACTAGTAGTCGCCTATAAAAATCAAAGTTAATGATTTATTCAATAAGGTGGTGCTATCCACATACCCATTTTTATCTTTCACATTCTTTCATAATTTTTAACCTTTGGATTGAATGAATTGAAGAATATCAAAGAACGTAAATTAACAATGGTATATGAGAGGTAAAAATGATGGTGGCGCGTATAGTATCAAGTTCATGACTTATTCAATAGGGTAGTGTTATCCACACATCTTTTTTGCTCTCTCACACCCTCTCGAATTTTTTGCCGTCCGATCAAATGAATTATAGAAGATCAAATGACAGTAATTAACAAATGGTGTGTGAGAGAAAAGTAAGTGTGAATAGCACCACCATTTAATAGTATAGATAGAGAAATGCTAGCAACTTTCTTACTTCTCTTTATACCACTAGTATTCTAAAAAAATTCTTTCTTCTTTCAGTATTTTTCTTTCTTTATTAGCATAATTAAAATTTTAGTTGTCAAGTAAAAATAAACATATTTTTAGTTTTGCGTGTTAATGAAAGACATGTGACATGAGTAAAAGTGAGAAGGTTGAGTTAGCTGGTAAAATTAGGAATAACTCATCTAAAATGTCATTGTGAAGTTATATTTTCACCTTTTATGTTCCTCTTCTTCATTTTGTTCTTTGATACGTATTTGAGTGCGCTACTCGATTCAATGACTAGAAACAAGAGAACTAAGTGTAGAAGGTAGAAATGGTGTGAAGAAATCACTTCTCAAACTCGACAACATAATAATTAATTAGAAGCTAAAATTAATTATTAAATAATCAGCAACCATGCTATATTAATTAGACAGGTTCAGTGGACTAATTCAACAGGTTATGGTGAATGCATTGTGATGGGATCTCTCGATTAACAAGTTGCTGGACAACAAATCCAGAGCTTGGAGTTTGCAAACTGATGGGATCTTTTTCCGTATGGGTTGTCCAATATTATCTCATGTGCTATATGGGAGGTTTTCCTAAACTCCAAATTGTTCTTTGTAATATTCTCTTCTCTTGCTCAAGTTGTCCAGTAAATTTGCTACAGTTTACTTTTATTCATCATCTACATTTTATTTTAAAGTTCTTCTATAAATATAGTAATTTTTACCATGCGAACTGCGAATATACAATTATTTTATTTGCATCCCTGATTTTATTGATTTAAATCCAGTGCGATGTTAGTCATGAAGTTAATTAAAATTGATGATTACAAAACAAGGCCGTAAGTGACTTTATTTTAGGAAACTGTTATTAGCACTTTAACAATCTCATTCTATACTTCTCACAAGTGTATTTTTCTTTCCATCTATAGAAAGTTTGGAGTGCCAAATGAGATTTTTGGAGTGTTAATAACAATTTCCTTATTTTAACGTGAAAAATTAGTAGTATATGAAGAAAATCACTATTTTCCCGTGTAGTAGTATGCATATATACACTCTTGTAGCTAAAATTACAAGTGTCTGATGAGATGCTAGTTAGAATAAATGAAGGTTTCATATTTGCGAACCAATAATTCTGGATTATAATGTAAGACTTGTAGATAACTCATGTAATCTAAGGTTTGGTGGTCATACAAAATCTAGCCATAGATTAATGAAAAGTTTACTAATTAGTAATATATCAATGATTTTTTATTATTTAAACTTGGTTAATGTAGTATTTTTATTAATTAGGTTTAGATCAATTAAAAATGTCACAAGTATTGCATGCTTATATACATACATATTAATTTTACCTCTCTGCCCA